TTGTATTTAGCAAGTACTAAATAAATGTGCAGTAACTGGAGTTACTTCACAGTAGTGCTAGTTGAACATCTTTTAAGTGATGCTACTGCGCAGCAGCTTAATACTGTGCAGTAGCATATTAGCACTGTCCATTGTGATACGCTACTGCACAGTATTATTATTCTGCTGCACAGTCGGTGTCTCATGCAGACATGCCCACTGTGTTTGCATCACTTTGAAGACAACGGCAAAGTATTCACATTGATAATATCTTTAAACGCAGTGCAAATATTTAACATTATTAAGGTTGGACTCTGCCTTGCAGTTTTTACAGCATAATCACGGCTCTTGGCTATTTCTTGATTGCACTAAATTTTAAAACAAGTTTAAGATTCTATTTTCATGTTACACGATATAAAATCCAAGGAACTGTTAGGAAAAACTAATATAGCATCCCTGTTCTGGATAAGGAGATGAATAATGTGTGTAATTTATGCCCAAAGTACTTTTTGGTTTTGCTTTGCCATTATACTGGTAATAAATTGAGAGGTATTTTTTTTTTAAAGAAAGGGTAGAAACTGTAAAGTGTATCAAGTTGGTAAAAGCATATGTACGTTGTATCCAATTACAGTTATACCATTTCATAATTCTGTGGAGTTGATACAAGTGCTGAAAAGAAACATAAAACTTTTTCAAAATGTTATGGGGAACGTGATCAAATCTTGCTTTGTTGGGCTCATTATATGCTGCAACACTCAGTACCTCACCCTTTACTCTGAATTGGATCCTAAGGGATTGCAAAAAATTGCATGGAAATTAGTATAGAGAGGTGACTGTATACAAAAGAATGGCTGGCTCTTTCCCAATGTCCAATCTGCACACAGTGTTTGTTAGACAGACCAAAGTTCCCAGTCCAGGAACTCTTTGGCTGGCAGCCCAGACACTTAGAAGGTGGGTCATCTTTTAAATGCAAGAATTTTCAGAAGTTGGGGCTCTTGTTATACTGCAGGTGACTTTGACTCTGCTTGTGTGTTTTTGGTGTTATTTTCATGTTTAAAATAGTGGTATGTCCTCGTTCCCCCCCAGCTATACTTAGAACCAGTTTTGACTTGTGACCAAATTGGATATTTCTGCCCTGGTGGGTTCCAAACTCTGTTTTCAAAAAGGAGTTAGTACATTTCAGGCTTGCTCATATCAAGAGATGTAGCACTGTCACTTAACTTCTGTGTATGTATATATACGTATTCTGTGTGCATGCACACATTTTTATGATCTGCTCTCTCTGATGTATATTGGAATTTCTGTCTTGGATTCTGTTCTGAGTTTCACTAGTTCATTTCTGGTGATAAACTGTTATAAGGATATACATAGATATGCATTTATAAAAAAATTTCTTTATAAAAATGAGTTTTTCCTCCTGCTAGTAGAAATTCACCTCCCAGAACTTTTCTCTGCAGCTGTTAATATAAAAGTTAAAAGTAAAGCTTCCTGTTCTGTTTGAGCATCACCAACAGCTGCAAAGAAAAATAGTCTTGAATTTTTACAACTGAATGTATGCATGTTTATAATTTAACAGGTTTCTCCCCAATGTCTCTTGATTTCCCTATGCCGTTGATCATCATTTTATTGTATGAGACAGCATAATTCATCAGACGTCTCTCTGTATTGGCTGAGATGTTCAGTGAAATTGATGGGCTCATTGCAGAAAGGCTGGCTGCAGTACTAACTGCATTGGCTCAACTGAGATCAGTGGCTGCTATGGTCTTCATACTAAGTAGTGTATGTTGCATATGGGTAATGTAACTGTTCCCTTCCCCAAATCAGGAATGTTATGGGATTGTGCCATAATCCTCCAAGAAGTAGGATTTACAATAGATCATCTGATTAGTTGAAAGAATTCACTTTAGTTATTATTTGGTAATATTTATTGGGTAACATGCTCTTTTAGTTTTCATGCCTGAAAGTTTCAAAAGCTTTTGCACCCACATTTTAATGAATGTACTTAACACTAGAACACCATGAAGACATTTGCAGATCTTGTTGAATAGACTTTGGCACCAGTCTCATTTCTTGCATATGCAAGGTTTTCATTAGAGGCTTTATGTGACCAAGAGATGGAAAACTTGATATATGGTGGTATCTTACTGCATAAAGATTTGTTCCTTTGGGAAATCCTTTGGCACTTCTGATAAGATCCTAAGCACCTTCATCTTCTGGAGACTCTACTAGAGCTTTGAGATATACAATACTTTTTCCCCCCTCCCAGGATTACACCACGAGCATCTAGCAGACGCAGAAATGAAATGGTATTGAAATCCCAGTGATCACTGATGTTGGTAGCTGTGATAGAACCTGAAATCTTGCTTAACATCTTTTATCGCTTCCCCTTTTTTCAGGGTCACCTCTCCGTGGTGGTGAAATGGTTGCTGAATAGAGAAAGAAGGAAATGAGTCTCACATGCAGATTTAGTTTCTATAAAGAAAGCCAAACTTTGGGGTTGCCAAAGAAGTACTCCCCATGCCATGCACCTTTTATTTGACATACTTTTCTGAGCACCTGTGGTCTTTGAAAGATAATTTTAAGAAGAATCTTAGTCTTGTTTGAGGGTTTACTAGACAGAGTAAACCAGAGGACCCAAACTACCAGCTACCAATCAATACAAATGCAGGGAGAAGGTAGCAGAGGCACGTGTAAGGCACATGTTTGATGACGGCGCTTAATTGATTATCCAGATTGTTTACAATTGATTCTGTGTGGTGGAGAAAAGGCACAGATTCGTGGGACAGGGTGTTGTTGCAATCCTGGAATGAACATCAGCAGTGTGAGAACCGTAAAACAGTGAAGATCTTATTCTTTGTAACCTGTGGAGAGGTGGGAGAAATTGCCTTATTATATGAAAAATAGAGTTTGAGGTGGTGGATTCACAGTATGGAATAAGGGAACTTTTTCATTAGGTGCCCTGAGGTGGGGCAGCTGCCACTTGGACCTGTGTCACTGGGCCTGTACAGCATGCCACCTTGGAGGTTAGAGAGGTCGAGGATAATCTGCTCACGTGGTGGGATGCTGAATTTCTTGAGCAGGGCTAAAAGTGGTACAGAACGTTGGTTTCTACATGCTGCTGACCCAGTAAGTGGGGATCACCCAGGGGACAAGCAAGGTGTGTTGCTAACGGGTCCTGATTCTGACCGACTTCCAGCGTTAGCCACAGAAATGAGGAATGGGCAGTGGGCAACAGGTTTCCTAGCAGCAAAGCTGTGAAGAGATTTCCAAGGACAGTCCCAATTGGGGGTCGTGTTGGCATGCTTAGAGAGGGGCCAGCTGCCCAACCCTCTGACTATGCTTCCTGCTACCTCTGGGAAAGGTTTGGGGAGTGGGGTGGCAGGTCTTGGTCATGCATGTGCTGCAGCTGGGTGTCAGGTTGCATAAAGACTTGGGTGTGGGGAACAGAGCCAGCGGTGGGAGCAGGGGCCCTTTGATGTATGTAGGGTGCTGTCAGGGCAATGCCTTGTCAAAGGATTTTTGTTTGTTGCCAAAGGGGAGAGAGGATCTTAGCTTGGCGTGGGTTAGCTGTAATGAGCTTAGGGGAAGCAGCTTTAACTCAGAGTGGTGCACTTCTCAGAGGGAGGTGACATGTTTGGAGGTGGGAATCTCTAGGTTGATATACTGTCCTAGGGAATGTGGGGGGTGGTCCTTGTGTTCACATTCTCTTGCTGGTTTCTACACCATAACAAGGTTCTCATTTGCCAGTATCATTGGCACTTAGGGATAGCAGGGGTTTTGTTGGGCTGACTTGGTGGCAGACAGCTGAGATGTGGCCATGTTTGTTTATATGCAAGCTGATTATAATGAGTCGGTAACCTCAGTCTCCTGACTCCTAAAAAGAGAATCAGGTTTGCACAGTGATCCTACCCATGCTGGTCCTGGGCTGCCTCTGATCCTCATGTTCAATTCATTTGAGTCTCTCTTGGAATTATGATGAAACATAACTCAATACTCCTGTTTCCAGCAAGGATTATGGACAGTCTTTTGTAGAAGGAGCATGTGGTGGTTGACCTCCTCCACCTGTTTGTAATGATACTTTGGGTCTCTGGCCTTGGTCCTACACTGTTTTCTGTCACATTTGTGGCCATTTCGAGCTTGTTCATGGTGCAGTAGGTGGCAAGGTTACAGTAGTGTGGTGTCACAGCTTGATTGCACTTTCACAACTGGTTGAGTAGCAGGCAGCACTCGGTAAGTAGACTGAAGTATGAAAGTGGGTGGCCTATCAAAAAGGTGTTACCCTTGTGTCTGACTTACGAATGTCTGGCTCACAGGGGACCAGCCTTTAAACACCTGAGGCAGGGTCTAAAAGAGGATGGAGCTAGACTGTTCTCAGTGGTGACAGATGACAGAACAAGGAGCAATGGTCTCAAGTTGCAGTAAGGGAAGTTTAGGTTAGATATTAGGAAGAATTTTCTTACTAGGAAGGTAGTAAAGCGCTGGAACAGGTTACCCAGAGAGGTGGTGGAAGCTCCATCCTTGGGAGGTTTTCAGAACCCAGCTAGACAGAGCTTTGGCTGAGATGATCTAACTGAGGATGGTCCTGCTTTGAGCAGGTGGTTGGACTAGATGACCTGCTGAGGTCCCTTCCAACCCTAACTTTCTATGATTTTTATACTTTACATAGAACTGCATCAGTAATAATGATTTGGGAAAAAAAGTATTCTTTTGGAAGCAAAACTCTCTCAAAATGACTTTAAAGTGTTTGTGTGTGTATATCTATATATATCTTGAAAATATACTTTGTGCTAATGCAGTGGCTTCCAACCTGTGATCTGCAGACAATGTCTAAGGGGTGCATGAAAGATAACTATGAGCAATCAAACGTATGTGAATACCTACACTTATAATTCAAAGGGGTCCGTACCTTCATTTGAAATTTTTTAGGGATCCGCAAATGAAAAAAGGGTTGAAAACCCCTGTGCTAGCAAATGAGTTTTTTTTTTCCCCACCTAACTTACTGCAAACAGTTGTTTAAAACAAAGGAATTTATTGTCTTTTTTTTTTTTTTTTTTTAGAAATGGAGGAACAGAGTGCTGGATCTGAGGCTGACGGTTTATAAAGGATTATGGGATTATACACTAAAGAGACAGCAGGTGGAATGCCTGAATGACTGAAGAAAATGGGTGCTAATGCATCTAACTACCCTCATTCGTGTTCCCCAAGGGTAGGGGGAAACTCACAGGCACAGCAGACATTCATAGGTAACTTTTTCAATTCTCCTGTCACTTTTTTGACATTTGCTAGATGGTAAATACAGTGAACTCTGACTGCTTGCAATATTGGTCATGTTATGAAAAGCCTCTTATTTTCTAGATGACCAGTTTTGATTCTGTTCAGGTTCAACAGTGCATGAAATTTGATACTGTGTGATAACTTTTTGGCCTATGTGAATTAAGAGGTCATTTGCCCAGTTCCTAATAAACAAATGTCATGTTGTAACATTCACTGTTGTAGTAGACCCCAAGGTTCCCTCTAAGGTACGTGCGTGTGTGGCCATGCGAACTAAAAGTGTGGCTGCACACAGCATTTTCAAGGCCGCGCATCAGCAGAGGTGGGGGTGGGAGCCTGGCGCAGGCTCTGCCGGCTCCGGGGAAGTGCTCCGCTCTCCCGCATCAGGGCCACAGAGTGGAGCACTTCTCTGGAGCTGGCGGAGCCTGCGCCAGCCCCCCACCCCAGCCTCCACCCCTGCCTTGCCTTGCCTCGCCTCACCTCAGGGAAGAGCCACTGCCTGGCCTAGTGAGGCTCCGCTGGCTCCGGGACACTGCTCCCTCCCCTGCATCGCCTCAGGGAGCGAGGAGGCATGTGGCGTCAGGGCCGGGGAGCGGAGCAGTGTCCCAGAGCTGGCGGAGCCTCACTCAGGGCAGGCAGCGGCTCCTCCCGGAGGTGAGGCAAGGCAGGAATGGAGGCTGGGGTGGGGGGCTGGCACAGGCTCTGCCAGCTCTGGGGAAGTGCTCCGCTACCTGGCCCTGATGTGGGGGAGCGGAGCACTTCCCCGGAGCCAGCGGAGCCCATGCCAGCCCCCAGCCTCTTGGCTCCGGCCCCTGGCTCCAGCCTCTGACCCCCAGCCTCTCGGCTTCAGCCTCCAACCCCTCATCCCCCTTCAATAAGTGTCCCACGCCGGACCGAGGCGGCACACTCACAGACCGCTACTCCTTAGAGGGAACATTGGTAGACCCTTTCAGCCATTTCAACTATCCATGTCAACAGTCCCATTTGAAAAATGGTCTTTAACTTAATAATTATGTCCACTAGTTTTCATGCTGTTTCATCAGAGCTCTGTACTGCATATTTTAATAGGAAAAAAAAGTGTAATTCCATTCTTCAAGCTTTAAAAATGCTGGCATTCCTATTGTGTCCCTTTCTTTTCTGATTAACTTAATAAGCACTTTGTCTTAACTTCCACCTTTTCCACCGCAAACTATATCAGCTCTATTAATGATAGAGCTCTGAGTATCAGCTCTGAGCATGATATTTTCCCCTCACTCCAAAAGACTAAACCTTCTTGATTCTTATTTCTCAGTTCATTCATGTAGTGTCATAGGTACTTAGAATTGGTAACTGAACAGTCAAATCAACTGAGCAATGAAAATAAAATCAGTGAACCAAGCAGAAGTTCATTCTGAAAAGAAAAAGCTAGTTGCCCTAAAAATGTCGTAGGAATTTTGCTGATGCTATTAATTGTATTTGGAAGGTGCATGGATACTTGGGTCTTTAACAGTAGACTCATGATGCATGCTGGCATATGGTATTTCATCTTTAAATTTTTTAGGGACCCACAAATATGCACTGAGATTTAAGCTTAAGAACGTCAAAGGAGACTAAAGAAACAAAGCAGCCAGATTCTAGAGAGAGTTAGGTACCCAAATCTTAAGCATCTCTAATCCCAGCCAGAAAACCCAAGGTACCATGATGACGCATGCTATATAAGAATAATAGGCATACGAATAAAGATGATTACCATTATGGCTATCCATCTCTCTCTCTTTGTATCCTTGACTGTCTCTGTTTATGAAATTCTTTTTTTATTTCCCTTTCTTTCTTTGCCTTTTTCTGTCTTGATTCATATTTCTCAGTTCATTCATGTAGTTTCATAGGTACTTAGAATTGGTAACTGACACGTCAGTACTTCTCAGAATAGGTGTTTATTCTTAGAAGCTAGTTCTCTCTTAATTGGCTGACTGTCTGTGGAAGATGTTTCAGAATCATGACACTATTTACTTGCTTAAAATACAAGGGCTAGATTTGTAATTGATGTAGCGTGCTCTAGCCTTTTTACTACCGGGACCTAAGTTCAAATCATGGCTTTCTGACATGACTTCTTAACCTTTTTAAAGCTTAATATTGTTGTCACTGTGCGGGCCGGGCACAAGCCGGGCCCTTTTCTGTGCTGCACGCGGGCTGTGGCCAGCAGCCTGGGCACACGGGGTCGGAGAGAGGGTCGCGACAAGCTAGAATTAGGCACAGACTCGTAGCAGTAGTTTTAAAGATTGTTTACTTACACCAGAGATGGTCGTGGTGTAGGCTGGAAAACTTGCTTGAGTTGCGGGTGCAGACAAAGACAACACGAACGGTCACGTGGAGTTTGCTAGGCTCCACGGAAACAGAGCTCCAGATGCTCTGGGTGAGCGTGCCACCAAAATCGGACTCGTAGATACGTCTTATAATTTTTCCGCTCGAAGACGGGAAGAGGTGGGCGATGGATCAGGTCGCCAAGCTCCTCTGAATCTCACACAGGGGTCTTTACTTCCCTGCCGTGTACCCAGAGTCCCCACGAGATGGATGTGGAGTCCTCTTCGGCTTGGGCGGAAACCGCTCAAGCCTCTTATACGGCTAACAGGCCAATCGCTAGCCGCCACGTGGGAATAATTTAGAACTAGCCAATAGCGGGACACAAAATTGCATGCAGGTGGCGGGAACTCTTTTGCACCGTGCATTTCTCTTGCAACTTGAGCAATGCACCCTGCAAAAGAAGCTGCAAATAGGCGGGAAACTCGTCCTTGCACCGGAGTTTTCCTCCGCAGTAGAAAACTCTCCCGTGCAATGAAGCTGCAATTTGGCGGGGATAATTCTGCTGCCGAAGCACACGCAAAATCATACCTTTGGGTTATGACAGTCACCACTTAAGCCAAGTGTGTGTATTTAGATGTAGGACCATGTTGGCAAAGCAGGTGAAGACTTTTCATAACATCTGTTCCTGCATCTCTAGTGACACTGAATTTGCCTGAAGTTAATAAAGACAACCTATAATAGCAGCAATTCTAGTTTTGGATTGTTTTTGTTTAGTGTTTATTCTTTGGCACTGCTTTGACAGAACAAAATATTTTCAAGTTTTAAGCATTATGTTATCAACTTTATGAATGATTTTGCAAAATTCAGAATAAGGATCTCATACCATTTTTAGTAGGACCTCTGTCTGTGGCATGTTTTTGTTTTGTTTTTTAGCACAATTCTGTAATTCTTTTTTTTTTAAGCTATAGGGATGTGAAGGACTAGACAAGTTCCATTATTCTTTATAAAGTGCCAGTATAGTTTCTTTGGGCAGTTGTCTGTTTCTTGAAAATATTTATCTGTTCAAAGATGCACCTGGGCTGTGGAGCATGAAAGTACTATTGTCACTTTAAAATAAACAGCATTTTAACAGTTCACTGTATCTGGAGAAAATAAGTTTTTCACTTCCCTCTTCTACATCCTAAAAAAGAAAAAGTCAAATGAGCATAGGGGAGACATGCTCTGAAAATAGTCTTCTTTAACTGGTATATGCTGAACTGCTAACTGCTGTGAATTCAAAATTGCCTCATTGATGCATCTGTATTTTAAGGGTCTTGCTTTTGCCAATGGTAGAAAGCTGAGTGGTGAAGTATTAAAGGCACTATTATCAGTCTATTGAAATAAATACCAACTTTCCTTGCATCAGGTTAGGGGTGCCAAAAATATGGACTGAAGATCGTATCTTTTGACATCACTTAACAGTACCACTGTTCACAATACTGCTGGAGGTGGGTCCAGACATAGCTTTCAAAGCTCCTCATAGTCCAGATCCAGCCCATGAGGAGCCCTTGTGTATGGGTTCAGCCCAGGGGGCCTAGGGAGTTTGACACTCCTGCTTTAGTTAATGCATTAGTATTAATTTTAGCTAAACCCTATAGATTGTAACTAGTACAAACTGACTTGAACCATATTTTGGTTTTGACTAAGGTGCAAGTATTATCTTATGGCAGTTGGTAGAAAAAAGTAAGGGTGCAAGATGTCCTGGCCTGTGTTCCTTATGAATAATAGAATATGAATATATTTTATCTTGGAGCCTGAAGATCATGAACCATCAAATACAAATATTCATATCCTTGTTTGTGATGCGTCTGCCTGTTCTTTCCACTAAAATGTTATTTCTATCATGTAATTATTTATATAGTGCAGTAAGTGGAGTGGCATTTTATGGATAGAAAATAAAGCTTGGACCAGATTTCTGGTCATGTCTAATACTGGTAGTAGAAGTAGAAATGTTACATTGGGGAGATTAGTGAATAACATGGGGCAGGGAGGGTGTTTTTGTTTCCAGTGAATTATTCAATGAACTCTGCATTGCACTTAAGAGTTGTCATAACCTTTTTTTATTATTTAAACTCGTCTTGGCATAAGTATACTTGTCAGTCAAACTGAACAGTCTGTACATTTTTCTGGTCTGATAGAATTTAAACTAACGTGGATAGAATGATGGAACAGAGAAAGATGCTTTCTTCTTCCTTGAGCTATTATCAGTTAATGAGTTGCAGAAACAATAGCTATAATTCCATAAAAAACCACCAGGTAGGGTTTTAGTTGCCTCATTCTAACAGATATATTGTGGTTGAACAGCTATCCAGGACAGAACTGAGTAACAAACAGTTTTATAGAAACTATCTTTTGATTTGTTTCTACAGTATGTACCAGGCCATAAAATGGCTCTGAACAGGGCTTGTGTTTCACAGTTCATGTGACTTCATCTGATGTCGTATTTTTGGTATTCAACTGATGATACAGCATTTTGACAGACTAATGTCAAAGTAATGTTGTAACATCACTGTTCCTCAAGCCCGCTTAAAATAGTAAAGCTCTAAGAAAATTTACGGTAAAAATAGAGACCACAAACTTCAAGGTGCTTTTGGGTCTGGTGGTAGCGTTATTTTTTTTTTTCAATTTGCAAATTCATATAAAACTTCTCCTC